GTGGAAATCAAACTGTAACTGAGGTGCAGAGGTAAATTAGAATAGAACAGTCCTTTAGTGTCATTATACATGGACAGTGAATATTCTATGACTTAGTAATATTGTCAAGTATATTAAATCCAATAAATATAAGTGTTTTTTGACTCTTACAGCATCTGATATTGAAGCTGAAGTTGATCTGTAATGAAATCCAAGTCATAATAGCCGCATGCCGTGCAGTGAAGACACACCTCGAAGAATTCATGGCTGAACTCAAAACCTCTTTCCATGTGAAGATGATCTTTGTCAACACAACCACGTTCAAGTGAGTTCTTTTTCCTTCCCCTTTAAAAAAAGTTTTGACTTAGCAGTTCAGTGATACGTGTTCACTTTGTGCATGTGTGTTACTGAAATATTTTCTTTTTTACTTCTTTCCAGTTATACTAAATTACTCGTGCTACTTCACTTGAGCATTGGGAAGTGAAGGTTACACTTCCCTGTGCTCAAGTGAACAATTAAAAGCATTGCCTAATATTTTGCACATATCTGTTTGTATCAAAACAGCTCTGACACTTTACGCCACAGCGATGAATCCTCTGGTTGTTTCCTGTGGTGTCCTGGGTGCGGGCAGCTGCTCCTCAGGCTGCTGTTGGTTCTCTGGAGATTGGGCTTTCTTCGGAGCATCCTGCGAAAGCTCCATCAGATTTGGTGCACCTGGAGCCCACGTCAGCGCCTTGTGCTCTTTGTTGTGTTCCTCGTGCTGTTTCTGATTACTTTCTGTTGCTTCTTGGGGAATGCTGTCCTGCTGAGAGAGTGCAGCTGTCATGGGGGCATGTGCTGGTGTGCAGCAATCTTTAGATCTACAGTATGTGTCAAAGTAACGTTCACATGAATGTAGGATGGAAAGTTCCCCAGCAATGTCATTATTCACTTCAGTTTGAGACTAGTTATAACCACCATTATACATCCATCTGTTCAACTAAAACTCCTAAAACATTAATGATTCAATTGAGTTACTTGCCTTCATTTACTTTGCAATGTCTGCTGTGGTAATTTCTCTCCCGGTCATACAAATGAGTACTTGTGTTGCAAATGTTCCTGTTGGTGAAGGAGTGTCCTTTACATTATGGTAGCCATGTTCATCCTCCATTTTTTGTCCACCTGGACGCTTACTGTACCTGTTTCAGGGAGCATAACACATGTTTATCTGTTTTGCACTGAAAAAAAGTTTTTTATACACATCATATTAATTAAAAAAAACAACAAACAGTTCAGAGTCACTGTGACTGTTAGGATTTTAGGATAGGTTATTGAATTCTAATATACACCATAAGTAAAACACTTATTTATTCACACCATGCCTCTTTGAGACAAGAAAACAGGAAATTAAAATGAATCAAGCCATAAAGCTAATATCTCTGTGATTAAACTTTGAAATAAAGAGGCTGGATAATTGGCAAACAATTGGCCACTCGCTCTTCATTTCTGGTGGTTTGACAGAACATTTGGTGCAGTGGGAAAGTTTTAATATTCTGAATAAATATCAAATAAAGGTCCTGCTTTGAATTAACAGGTGTAAAAAGTCAGAGCCATTGAAACTATTATGGATTCTTTAAATCAGTTTCTTCCACTCGTACAGGTTAGTCCAGTTGATACTAATGCTATACTTATATATAAGTACACAATCTGCTGTAGTTAATAAAATGAATCTAGATGCGGAGTAGCAAAAGCTAAGGTAACACTGGCCAATAAGTTATTCTTAAAGGTGTGGTGGGTTTTGACACTGGTGTCTTGTCACATGTAATTGGATGTAGTGTAGCAGGTGAGACTTGGCATACCTGAGAAATGTGCCAGAAATCTGTGAATATGTTTACTGTCAGGGCCACAGCCAACAGTAATATAAAAATGCCATCATGGGAATTACGAAAAAAGGAATCTTATACTAGCTGGAACACCAACTAGTAATCTACAGAGACCAACACTGGACTTTCCCCTGGATCACAGCTGCTACACTGACAGACAACCTTTAAGCTCAAAAACAGGCCTTACAGGAAAGAACAGAGAAGCCTCAGACCTCTATGTCCCAATCTGACTCAAGATAAGTGACAACGAGGGAGTCTGCACCAGATGCAGATTTACGTGTCTAGTCTTGCCTGCATATTTATAATCTCTTTTTTTATTATTATTATTTTAACGGACACTGTGTGGAAGCTATGTTAAAGGATGCATGTGGAGTCAATATCACCTTGACCACTGATTTTTAGCTCCTTTAACATTTATTTTTGTCGTTCAGCTTCCTCAGAGAAGACTTTCCTTTTCAACGGACTCAAATAAGTAGGGGAGACCGGGGATAGTTGTAACATTTTTGACATTTCTGTCTGTAAATTGGAGCTCTTTTAAGGTAGTGGATTCAAAATGTAATGCAAAGTATTTACATGTCTCTGCTATTAAATAGTGCAGCTATTTTCTCTGCAGCACAATTACCCATTGCATGGTATGGCCTCAAACACAAAGAGTGAAATGTTACAATTAACCCCATAGTCTGGGTTAGTTGTAACATATCCTGGGGTGAAATGTAACACAATGAAATAAGGGTACTAACAAAACATTAACATGTAATCTTTGTTTATTCAACACATGAATGCACTTACATCCATTTATGTAGCTGTGTGTGTGTGTGACAGAATGCAGAAATCTAGCTTTTGAACATATTCCAACCCCCCAAAAAAGACAAATTATGGAATTTTCTGCAACTGAATATTTCATTAATTTTGGTTGGTCTTCCTTGAGTTTGGCCTCATTGGCTCAGTGGGCATTATAACCTACAACTCTTGCACCAATTTTGAACATAACAATGAAGCTGAAAAAATGTAGTTGTTCACCAGCATCGCAATTCCATTACTTTTTATCATGGCTTACCTTGGTGTGGTTTGCAAAGTGCTTCAGAAAGATGAGGAAATCTGTTTCTTGCACCCATCCTGATTTATTTCCACTACCAGTACTTCCTACTGGTCCATCTCTGACACAGTGGTCTGCATAATGTATGTGTGGGAACACAAACAGTGGAGGAATTGTGTTGCCAATGGCATTAACCGCATATACAAAAGCGACCAGTGAACCTCTCTCTGCTGATGTCGTTGCCCCAACTTGTTTAATATAAGTTAAAGTAATAGTGTGGTAAGTTGTAACATCTGCATTATTGTTACAACTAACCCAGACTGTTGCTGTTACAACTGACCCAGACTCCTATAGCCATGAACTAGCTAACATTACAGCCAACGGCTAAAACATTAGCACTAAAGACCTACACAGAATATATCCCCATAGACATACAAATAACATAATTTAAGTTTGATGAGTTTAACTGCAAAGCAGATAATGCTATTAGAAATTGAAATAAAGTAGAAAAACTTACTTTTTGGCATACAAATTACTTTTTTTCGTGTTAAATTGTCTGTGTTTGACAAAATGTGCTGATTTTTCACATGTGATAGCAGAACTGAGTTGGGCATGCACAGGATGAGTCACATCATTTGAAACTTAGCCCTGATTGGAGAAATTGGAAGTGTTACAACTGACCCACGTTACAACTATCCCCGGTCTCCCCTAATGCTTAGGTAGTTATCCTTGACATGTGTTTCCTCTGTATCGCGCCTCCATTTCAACCATGGTGACCTCTCACACATCAGTAGCGGTTTTAAAACGTACTCATGCTGCCCCGATGTCAGCCAGCGCATATTGGGAATGCGTAGGCACCGATCGGTTTTCTATCACCCATTTGCTGGGAGTAAGGGCGCCCTCCGTTTGCGAGGTCGCCTGCTGCTTTCGGCACAGGAGGAGAGTGGTGATCCTCGGTTGGGGGATGGGTGTTCATACTGGAGTGCAAAATTAAAACCAATGGAAGATGGACAAGAAAAGTTCAAAGCCATCAGGTGCTCAGTTTAGAAAAAAGAGAAAAGAAGAGGAGGAGAAACGAGCAAAAGATACAGGTAAGCAGATGTGTCATTGGATAATGGCAGGTCATCCTGAAACAATCAGAATACTTTATTAATCCCTAAGGAAATTATGTGGGTTACAGTTGCTCCAAGAAGAAATGGTAAAAATAGTAACAGTAACAGACTAAACTCCAAACAATACATTATGTTACAGATTTTAATATTAATTAGTCATTGTCAGATCACTCAATATAAAAACAAGAAAGAGGTGAGTTAAAATCCCCCGTATACAATAAAAAGAGTGTTCTCAATACGCTAAAAACCCTGCCGGCAGAAATAACTATACACTATTAAAACAAAGTTAAACAAATGTCTCCCATATGCTAAAATTCCCCTCCCACACAGTCCAACAATCCCACAGTCCAGCCACACTCGGGAAAATGTTCCTTATCTGAAAGGGACAGGAGAGGAATTTCTCTTCCGGGATGGAAATCTCGCCGGCCAGAAGAACAAGAAGGGGGCTCCTGTCGCAGACCTGTCTCCTCCTGACAGCGCGTCACCGCACAGTCCCGCCCCACTCCACACCTGAACACGGCCTCCCTTGTCTCACCGTCAGATGCAGGCAGATGGGCATCCCTGCCCTGTTGTGAATTGCGGCCATCGCCACCCACTGTTGCTGTTCCTGCCGTTGGGACTGGATCGCCGAACGACTCGTGGCACCCCACAGTCAGGCAGCAGGTCCTCAAACACATGTGCGGGCTTACACGCGTTGTTGTTGTGTTTTGTTTTGTTTTTTGCTCAGTGCTCACCTTTCGTGCGTCGCTCTCTTGTCTCTGCGCGCACTCAATGGCTGTATCCCAATTCAGGGCCTGCAGCCTTAAAGTACGCAGCCTCAACGATCCTCAAGGGCCGCGTACTTAAACATTTGCACATAAATAAGTGACATAATAGCGCCACTGTGACGTAATCGGCCTTTAAGGCTGCAGACCCTGAATTGGGATACAGCTATCCCCTTTAACAGGTCAGTCTGGCGGCTGATAGGCCACCTCGGGGGAACGCCCCCACCTCACAGGTGCCTACTTAGTCCACAGTGGATTAGAAGAATATTGTGCAACAACACTAAAATACATAATATAAATATGAGGATAAAACTGTGCAATATAAATATCACAATAAAATCATGCAAATAAAATCAACACTATGTACCAATACACAGATTGATAAAACATAAAAACACAAATTTCCACTGCGTGACACATGGACAATGAATATTAGTAATATTGTCAAGTGTATTAAATCCAATAAATATAAGTGTTTTTTGACTCTTACAGCATCTGATATTGAAGCTGAAGTTGATCTGTAATGAAATCCAAGTCCTAATAGCCGCATGCTGTGCAGTGAAGACACACCTCGAAGAATTCATGGCTGAACTCAAAACCTCTTTCCATGTAAAGATGATCTTTGTCAACACAACCACATTCAAGTGAGTTCTTTTTCCTTCCCCTTTAAAATACGTTTTGACTTAGCAGTTCAGTGATACGTGTTCACTTTGTGCATGTGTGTTACTGAAATATTTTCTCTTTTACTTCTTTCCAGTTATACTAAATTACTCGTGCCACTTCACTTGAGCATTGGGAAGTGAAGGTTACACTTCCCTATGCTCAAGTGAACAATTAAAAGCATTGCCTAATATTTTGCACATATCTGTTTGTATCAAAACAGCTCTGACACTTTACGCCACAGCGATGAATCCTCTGGTTGTTTCCTGTGGTGTCCTGGATGCGGGCAGCTGCTCCTCTGGCTGCTGTTGGTTCTCTGGAGATCGGGCTTTCTTCGGAGCATCCTGCGAAAGCTCCATCAGATTTGGTGCACCTGGAGCCCACGTCAGCGCCTTGTGCTCTTTGTTGTGTTCCTCGTGCTGTTTCTGATTACTTTCTGTTGCTTCTTGGGGAATGCTGTCCTGCTGAGAGAGTGCAGCTGTCATGGGGGCATGTGCTGGTGTGCAGCAATCTTTAGATGTACAGTATGTGTCAAAGTAACGTTCACATGAATGTAGGATGGAAAGTTCCCCAGCAATGTCATTATTCACTTCAGTTTGAGACTAGTTATAACCACCATTATACATCCATCTGTTCAACTAAAACTCCTAAAACATTAATTGAGTTACTTGCCTTCATTTACTTTGCAATGTCTGCTGTGGTAATTTCTCTCCCGTTCATACAAATGAGTACTTGTGTTGCAAATGTTCCTGCTGGTGAAGGAGTGTCCTTTACATTATGGTAGCCATGTTCATCCTCCATTTTTTGTCCACCTGGACGCTTACTGTACTTTAAATTTTATACACATCATATTAATTAAAAAAAACAACAAACAGTTCAGAGTCACTGTGACTGTTAGGATTTTAGGATAGGATATTGAATTCTAATATACACCATAAGTAAAACACTTATTTATTCACACCATGCCTCTTTGAGACAAGAAAACAGGAAATTAAAATGATTCAAGTCATAAAGCTAATATCTCTGTGATTAAACTTTGAAATAAAGAGGCTGGATAATTGGCAAACAATTGGCCACTCGCTCTTCATTTCTGGTGGTTTGACAGAACATTTGGTGCAGTGGGAAAGTTTTAATATTCTGAATAAATATCAAATAAAGGTCCTGCTTTGAATTAACAGGTATAAAAAGTCAGAGCCATTGAAACTATTATGGATTCTTTAAATCAGTTTCTTCCACTCATACAGGTTAGTCCAGTTTATACTAATGCTATACTTATATATAAGTACACAATCTGCTGTAGTTAATAAAATGAATCTAGATGCGGAGTAGCAAAAGCTAAGGTAACACTGGCCAATAAGTTATTCTTAAAGGTGTGGTGGGTTTTGACACTGGTGTCTTGTCACATGTAATTGGATGTAGTGTAGCAGGTGAGACTTGGCATACCTGAGAAATGTGCCAGAAATCTGTGAAAAGGTTTGCTGCCAGGTGGAGCTTTATAGTCAGAAAGGCCCAGATGAGTTGCATTTCTGTGGCGAATGTGTGACACATGAATGTGTGATGGGCGTCACAATATTAAAACAACATGACCTGCACTGCACCTGCTTATACACAACAAATACCTATTCTATCATATGGTAAAAGTGTCCACATATGATCATTAGATATGCATACTTCTTATTAAAATCTGCATCGTTTACACACTGTTAGCACAACTGATAGATGTTAACATTAAATACATGTTCGCTGCTCTTTAAAGATGGTCATTTATTTCCTCAGTCTGCTGCTGTCTCTTCATGAATTCCTTTAATAACATGAGCTGCAGCATCAGTCTGAGAGGAGTCAAATGATTAAAAATTAATCCACCAGGACACTTCCCTGAGGATCTTGCCTACGAACATGCTGAGTTGAGGAAAAAACCACAAAGATCAGAAATCAGGACATTTCTCGTTAGTAGGTTTAGGTTTGGTTTGAAATGGCTGCAAAGCAAGGACTGTCAAATGCTCGTTTCTGCAGGAGAAATTTGGGTTTGTGTCCAAGTAAGTGGCTAACAAAGTTTCTGTGTTAATGAATGAACAATGTTTGTACAAGAACCCCAGGAAGTAATAAATAATAAATAGATCAGGTCTAAAGAGCTGAGAGTGGTCACTGTTGTGTTTACTCAGCTTTTGAGAAACATAATAATATAAATGCCTGCATTTGTCTAAACTATGACACCCTCAGGATTACTCATTCTGCCATTTTCCATCAAAGGTGAGAAATAAGCTTTTACAGTGTGCAGCACCACCTCATCTGTTTCAGAATCACATGCATCTGAACGGTATGAGGGCGAGCACGTGCTGTTTATGATACTACGATCGAGCACACTGTACTTTATCTGATGGGGGTTTCAAACTTAGGCTTGAATACATTTTGTTAGGTGATGTTTGAGCTTTTTATTATGTGTACTAAAAACATTGATCATAAAAAACAACTTCTTTTTGTTTCCTTTATCTATTAATTCTGGTTTCATACAAACCT